AAGGAAACTGACACTCTGTGGTGAACTGACTTAGCTGAAGTCACTTCATTATTAGGTGGGAGAAGCTGGACTTTTGGCCAGGCAGTGCAACTCCGGAGCCAGGCGCTGAGAGTGAAGCCCACTGCTCAGTGTCTGAGAAGAGAGGTGTGTTGTGGTAGAAAGGCCCCCTGAATCCTTACTTCTGTACCATTGGCTGTGCCATCTTGGCCAGCTTCCCTATGTATCCTGGAAATGACATCCACTTCGCGCGGGGTTGCGAGGTTAAGAGTAACGAATGAAAAGCTGGGAGTGCCTGGTGCAAAGTATGTGCTAAATAAAAGGTAGCTATTTTTGTTGTTGTTGTGGCTTCTAGACTAATGCACAGGAATAGCTGGGACATGAAACCTCCCCTGAGTACCCCATTCCTACCTCCGCCAACAAAGGAGCTACTCATTTCAATTCAGAGAGTCTTAGTGGGAAAGTCAGAGGACCCAGTTTCTAGTTCCAGTCCTGTGCTAAGTGGCCATAGGACTGGCTGCAATCCTGGAGCATCTCTGCTCAGGCGAATTAACCATGGTGTGCCTCTGACACCCAGCCAGGTCTCTGTCACTTTACTGAAGCTCCCAGTAGCCTAGCAGAACTTGATTTCCACCCGGCCCTGACCCAAAGGGGAAGATGGGAGGGGTTGGTGATGAGGGTGTCTATTGAGGAAGCCGACAGAGAAGGAGGAGAAAGACTGGCCTGGGTGGGAAGGCCTAACTCTAACTCCCTGCCTGGGTTTAATGAGCCCCAGAGCTGGGGAGGGCTGCTTTTCACTACCTTTTATTTGGTCAGACAGAGTGCTCAATAAATCTTTAGTTCCGTGGACTCCCCTCGTGGAGTTGTTGAAGGAGAAAGCTTTTTGCAAATGACTGGAAAGCCCTTTGCAAATATAAAGTGCTTATTTAGATGCAAACGAAAAATCCAAGGTGCCTGTGACTCATCTGGTACCTATTGTGCTCCCTGCAAAGACGCAGAGGCTTGCCTGTGTGATGGGTGCCATTTGAGAGCCACTTAAAGAACTCCCTGGTGAATGAATTTGGTTGCATTATTCCCGGGCTCTTCTCGGAGGACTCTAATTTTCACCGCTTGGTCGTGTCCCTGTCTTCTGACACATTCTCAGCAGTCTGAGTTAGCTCTGACCCGGGATGCAGTGGGAAGGGGTTGACCTGCTGGGAAGGCTCTGGCCCCGTGTGGGGGCCTAGGCTCGCAGACTTCCCGCTCTGCTTTTTAAAAAAGAAAAAGGCGGCTTTAATCCACGCATCCAGAGCTATGCCTCAGAATCTAATGACAATAGTATTACTTGCTTTCAAAAAACGCTTTTATCATTTCCTTTTCTTTCCTATCTCTTATCACCCCGTTATTACTGATCAGGGCTTCATGACCAAAAAATACTGAATCCATTTGGTTAAGTTTGTCAGACTGATGACTGGCATTGTGTGCAGACCAAAGGTCTGTGTGAATGACTGCATTTGTAATGAATTGACCAGCTATCTGGCATCACATGAACAGATTTTAATACTGTGTACTGCAAACTGCTGTGAAGGACAATGGTGACAGCTTTTCTGAGGCCTATTTTCATCCCGAGAATAGGCAGGGGCCTCCAATTTGGGGTCTGATGAGGATTGGTTCGTACTGAAATACAAGCCCAAAAGGAATATCCTTCTCCACTGGGACCTAAAGCCCGCTGGTCTCTTTGGGCTTCAGGCCTGTGAGTGCTATGCCTTCTGGGAGTCTTCCTATTTGGGACAGGAGCCGACTCAAGCTTTATTCTTGTTGGTATTTTTGCAGGGGTGAAAGAGAAGTGTGCGGTAAGCATGGCTGCTGCCAGCAAAATGTTTCTCTAGTGCAAATTAGAGAAAGATGCCCCTTCCTGGCTGGCAAACTACAAAATGTCATCTTCTCACAGCTGACTCAGGACTAGCATGGCAAACGAAGTGGCTGAATTCTTTCCTCCCACCTTTCTACAGGACACGACCTCCTCAGCCTTACCCATAGCTGCTGTGTGTGTGAATGTGTGTGAGTGGGTGGACTATACAAACACACTCTCAAGAAGGCAGAGAGGAGGTTGGGGAGAGCGAGGAGGGCTGTGTGGTACTGTCCCAGTCCATCTCCTGGTCTTTCTGTCTCTTCTTCCTTCCAAGGCTAACCTCTTACCCTCTCATGTACTTTCTAAAGATTCTTATTTGTGGTAAGAACCATTGGCTTCCCTTATCTATGGGCCAGTGAATTCAGTTCAATATTCTTTGTTAAAAGATTGGATAGGTACAGCAAGGAGATTCACTGGTGGTAGGGATTTAGCTCTGAAGTAAGAATCTGGGGTGCTGGAGGCTACGCCAATTGGTGCCCAGTATTTCCTTGAGCAACATGTATTCCCTAAACCGGTACTAAAAGTCCAGAAATTATGTAACAGGCTTAGATATTAGAGCTAAAAATGTTATAAGAACCTTATCATTTTTTCCTTTCTTCCTTCCTTTTTTTTGGCAGTGCTGCATATTGAACTCAGTGCTTTTGCCTTGACTTATGGTCCCTTATGCCTGTTTTGAACATTTGTTTTGAGGCAGGATCTCCCTAAGTGATTTAAGTTGCTCAGGCTGGGCTCCAACTTGTGATCCTCCTGCCTCAGTTTCTTAGAGCTCTGGAGTTACAAGAGTGTACCACCACACCTGGGCCTGTTTCTTCACTTAAAAAAAAGTATTGAAATATTCACATATCACACAATCTACTTAAATGTATAATTCAATGTATAATTTAATTTTTTGTTATATTTACAGAATTATACAATCATATCCTCTATTTTTAAACACACTCTTTAATGGCATTATTTCCAGAATTGTGAACATGTTCTTTAATTTGCCTTCTCAGTTGGAGAGTAATCAAGTGATAGAGTAAAAAAATCCTCCAGTTGACTGCTTGGTTTTGCAACACCCCCACAGGAAAGAGTTTTCATGTACATTCTTTGGCTATTGTTCAACGCTCTCATTTCAGTGTATGAAGGAAATTTGGAGCATTGCTGTTGAGAGCTTGACATTGTGCTGTGCGAGGAAAGGCAGCTGGCCTTTCTACAAGTTACCAGAGAAGGTTAGTGCTGGCTCAAGGGCTGACAGAATCAAACTGTAGACATTTAGAAGGGTTTTATGGGAAAGGTGGATGTTGGAACAGACTCAGAACATGAGAAGGTAGGTCCTAGGGAAACCCAGAAAAAAAGGAGACCGAAAGGTGAACTGAGGACACTTGAATCCCAGACTGTAAAGATAACTTTAACTTTCATTCCATAGGCCAAGGAGACATGGAAGAGTTTTGAGTAGGACATTGGACATCAGGGCTATTGTTCTGGTGGAATAATTCTTTTTTTGCAGTGGGAATCGAACTTGGGACCTTGTTCTTACAAGGCAGGCAGCCTTGAACCGAATCTCTGGCCCTGGTGGAATAATTCTAATGATGTGAAGGACCAGTTAGTATGCTAAGGTAGGGGCTTGGCCAGGAGGTCATGGGAGTCTAAAATAAGAAGGGTCAGCAAGTAAGGAAAGAGAGACAAATCTGAAAACATCATGAAAAGCATAGTCTGTAGGCACAGCTGTGCTTGAGATTAGGGAGAGAGAAGAGTTGAGTAAAACCCAATATTTTAGGTTGAAGATAGCATCTGTGAGAGGTCATCAAATAAGATAATTTGGAGTTTTGATGGTTTGATTTTTAAACTTTAAAAAAGATTATAGAAACTTGAACATAGGATGTGCAGGCAGTAATGTGGTTTGGAATTCAGGGAAGAAGGTAGAGGTAGCTGGAGATTTGGTAAAGTAAACACAAAGCTTAATTTAGTCAAACAGACATGAATTCAAATGCTGGCATGGTCCCAGACTAGCTGTGTGGCTTTGGCAAGTTCTTTAAGGAAATAAAGATTATAATAGTACCTAATAGTTGTTAAGGTACAATGAGTTTGTGCATGTCAAAGCTTAGTACAATGTGATGTTTCCAATAAACAGCAGATCTTATTTGGAATCACCTCTTGGAGATATCCCACGGATGGATAATATTATTGGAAAAATAGAGGAAGTGGAAGGAGAAGGTAGATGTTGAGGATTAAGAGAAGAACAAGTGAGAAGCTCTCGACTGGCAATGGAGGCCACAGACTCCTTGGGACCTCTTTTCTCCAGGTCTCTCAGTCAGTGGTCTTTCTTGTGACCAATCTCAGGCTCAGGACAGGGAGAGTGGAAAGAGGAGAGGAAGACAAAAAAAAAAAAAAAAAAAAAAAAAAAA